GGCTTTAGGCTCCATCCATGGAGGCTAAGGTTTTCTTTACAAGAGAGAGAGGAAATGGAAAATGATGAAGATGAAATGTGAGTGGAGGGGATAGAGATCCTCCACTCACTATGTGCTCTTACACTACCTCTCTCACACACACTAATGCAAGATCAAATTGTGAGCCTACACTTGTCACAAATCCAAGGCTCCATCCTAGGCTAAATCTCAAGCCTACACTTGTCAACCATGCAAGCCAACAAGTGCACCAATCCTAGGCCAACAAGTGGTTAAATCTCCACCCTCCACATGTCCTCATCCAAGGTCTCAAAGTGTTTCCACACACATGTCAACAAGTAGACCAATGAGAGTGTGACACTTGTCACACTTTTTCGGAAATTGCAAAAAGGTCCTTTTTGAAAATATCTTCCAAATTAAATTGCAAAATGGTCCCTAAGATGAAAAATAATTACTTTACAGTAATTACACAAAAACCCCTAAAATTAAGAAAATTACAAAAAGGTTATGCGTCCATACCCTTTATAAGAAAAGTAAGCACTTAGCATACTTTTCTACAAAAGTGCAAATACACATAGCATGGAATTTAAATATCGTGGATGCATGCAAAACCGGAATCAAATCCGAACACAAAAAGTGAACTTGTGCAAAGAAAATGATAAGCGAGAAAAAGACAAAAGTGAATAGTGTTCGGAAAAAAATAAAAATATGGAAATGACACAATCCCTAACGGAAGTTGTCAATCCAATGAAAAGAGCCTCAGAAATCATTCCAGAGCACTCAAGATGACATCAAGTGACGAAAAACTGAACACAGAATGGAAAAGACAACGGAAAAAAAATATCCGTAAAAATTCGAGAAAAGGAAAAGGAAGAAAAATGACCAGGTCATTACAGGATCCACGATCTTGATGTCTCTTGATTGCTTTACTAGTGAGTAATTGGCATTTTTCATGTTCTCTGGATAGATAGTAGATTTGTTCTACTGTTTTAACTGTATAGTCACTAAGGAAAGTTGATTTAAAGAAACTAGTTTTATAGATTTCTCTGGTTAGAATACGGGGAATACTCTAATCACTAAAATCTAAACTAATATCTTCAACTTGGTATTCTTCTTCATTGACTATGTTTGAACTGGGGGAGGTAGGCTAGTTCTGGATCTAGAACTCATTGAAGAGAAAGACCTGAATAACCTATTCGTGGTTACTTATCTCGAACTATCTTTGGGTGATTGACTGGATAAAACATACTATTGTCATAATTCTCTCAAAGTGGTTTCTAAATCCTATCCATGCGTTCATCCGCTCATGCCGTCCCGCTCAGGCCTCTCTTGGGTCTTACTGTTTGGCTCGGGTCTTATTGTTTGGATATGGACGTACAGGAAGGAGTAGGAGTACAACGATATGAGAATCAATAAACAGAATGATTTAAACAGAACAAACAAACAAGATAAGTAAGAGAGAAGACACATAATAGATTACTCAAATAACCACTAAATGGCTCTGATACCAAAAGGGGAAGCGCACATTAACTTAAAACAAATAAACATTAAAATAGATAAGACGGTATATAACCGACCAAGATATAATAACAGAATAATTAAGGCGGTATATAACCGACCAAGATATATATATTAAAGCAGATAAAATAACTGAATCAAACTTGTATTACTGAAAATAGTTACAACAGAATATTAACTGAAAATGACTTACAAACTTAATGTAACTGATAGTAGTCTGATGTATATAGCATACTGTTGGTGTATTACACTCAGAAAGGATGAAAAGAACTGAACTAAATATTACAATGAGAGTATATTATGAAGCCTGAATTCTCTCTCAAACGAAGCTTGATGAGCAATGGGACTGACCACTGCATTTATAGGCGATACTAGAGACATCTGAGGCGCAATTTCCGGCTTTCAAAAGTAACTTTTGACTTTTCAAACTGCTTTTAAGTGTTGATGAATAGTGAGTTACTGTTCCCGTCATTTGTGCCGACGGTTACTGTAGATGAATAGTTCTTTGTCGGGAGCATTGTAGAAATAGTGATTCTGCCGACAGTTACTGTAGAAATAGTGACTTCGACCTGTTATTGTAGTAATGTTGACTTTTCCCAAAAAACCTTAGTAAGGATCATCGTAAGGAGTTTGACTATCTTGGAATACTGGGTCATCATATAGGTTGGTAACTGGGTAACTAGATTCTTCAGCAGATGGGGTATCTTCTGCTTCTTCTTCTTCTTGTGACATCTCTTGGATGCGAGTAGTTAAATCTGCTGCGATTTTCTTGAGGGAATCCAACTCTAATTTGGGAGTGGATTTGCGTGACTTTGAAGTAGTGGCAGAGGTCAATTGTTTTGACTGAGTAACTTGTTGTGGTGGAGGAGTGACTGTGACTGGAGCAACTATAACTGGAGCTACTGTAACTAAAGCTGGGAATTCTTCTTTAATATAATCAAGAATCCTGGCTATTTTGAAAGCATCCCACCATTTGACATAGTAGTGACAAATGACTGTGTTTCCCTGAATGTCATATAACCATTTGAAAATCCAGGGGACTTTGTATTTGCAAAAAAATAAGAATAGAAATGGGAGCTGAGAGTTATGTTTACTGGTTTTGTAAATTGTGTGAAAATATGTGACTTGATCTGCTAGAGTAAGAGGGAGGATTTCTAAAATGGAGCCAAATGTTGACCATTTAAGAAACCAAGTAGGAATTGGGGCTTTGTAATTGAACTTGTTATCAAAACAAAGGAACCATGAATGAGTGAATGATGGATTTTGGTGAAGTAGAATAACAGACCAAGCTGTCATGTAGTCATGATAGTTGTAGGAATAGTCATGTTCTGGTAACTGTTTGGTTATAGCTGGGTGAGATCCCCATTCATCTAGAGACATGATCCGGATGATGTAGAAGGAATGGTAGATGACTTTCTTGGGGTTGATTTTATCATAAATTGGGTTAATCCGGATAGAATGAGTAGAATATAAAATATTCTTGTAAAATTGTAGGGACTTGAAGGGCTGACTGGCACAATAATGGAGATTAGGAGGGAAATAGGCTTTGACTAATTCTACAGGGTCGGTGAGGTGACTTAGTGAAGGTTCTATATAGAACAAAGGGGAATAAGGTTTTTCAATATAATCAGTAGGTGACTTTGTGTAATGAGGTATTTGTAACTGGGATTTGGTGGAGTCTGAGTAAAGATCTGGGGTTGGATCAACAAGAGCTAATCGGTAACTGGGTGGCGAAGTAAGTGGTTGGAATCGGTTGTTGACTGCCAGAGCAGAAGATTGTGACTGGGTTTGTGATCTGGTGGCTGGAGCTTTGCCAGAGCAAATGTCAGAAGGTTTAACTAGTTGGGGCCTCTGGGGAGGCTGTCTGTCCGCCATTAGATTTCTGTAAAAATTCTCTTGTAAGAAAATCTGGAATAGAGTTGTTACTTCCTTTGATATATTCTATATCAAAATCAAATATACTTAAAATAGCTTGTCACCGGGCAAAAATCTGTTTAGAAGCAATATTTTCAACGTCTTTTTTTTTTAATAGTACTATAGTTACTTTGTGCTTTTATCCAAACACCAGAATGGAATCGAACTAATTGTTTAGGTGCATTTGGACTAACTCTTTGCTTATATATATATATATATATATAGATATATATATAAATTTGTTGCTGATTCTGGAGCCCTTCTTTATGTACTTCGTATTAGAATTTCATGAAATTTGACTTTTATGTTCTGAACGGGAAATCTAATTTCATATCACAATTTACTCTTTTCTTCATTAGAGCAATACCTTGCATAACTACCTGAAAATAACCTTCCTAAAAAAAAAAAAAAAAAAAAAAACAACCTGAAAATAATTATTCTTAGCTTTTGTTCACCTGCATAGAATTAAAATTAGTGAAATTAAAAAAAATGTTCAGTTCACAATTACAAAAAATAGAATTAATTTTTTTTTTCTAATCCTATCAATTTCAGTTTTAAGACTCCAATTTCACATAGAGAACACACCTCAATCTATTTCATTCATGGAAAAAAAAAAAATGTAATTAATTTTCATGTTTTGAAACTATATATATGTATATATATTTTAAATTATTGTACAGTTACTCTTTTCTTCATTAGAGCAATACCTTGCATAACTACCTGAAAATAACCTTCCTAAAATATAAAAAAAAAAAAAAAAAAAAAAAAACAACCTGAAAATAATTATTCTTAGCTTTTGTTCACCTGCATAGAATTAAAATTAGTGAAATTAAAAAAAATGTTCAGTTCAAAATTACAAAAAATAGAATTAAATTTTTTTTCTAATCCTATCAATTTCAGTTTTAAGACTCCAATTTCACATAGAGAACACACCTCAATCTATTTCATTAATGGAAAAAAAAAAAAATGTAATTAATTTTCATGTTTTGAAACTATATATATGTATATATATTTTAAATTATTGTACAGTTACTCTTTTCTTCATTAGAGCAATACCTTGCATAACTACCTGAAAATAACCTTCCTAAAATATAAAAAAAAAAAAAAAAAAAAAAAAAAACAACCTGAAAATAATTATTCTTAGCTTTTGTTCACCTGCATAGAATTAAAATTAGTGAAATTAAAAAAAATGTTCAGTTCAAAATTACAAAAAATAGAATTAAATTTTTTTTCTAATCCTATCAATTTCAGTTTTAAGACTCCAATTTCACATAGAGAACACACCTCAATCTATTTCATTAATGGAAAAAAAAAAAAATGTAATTAATTTTCATGTTTTGAAACTATATATATGTATATATATTTTAAATTCTTGTACAGTTCAAAATTATCTGAATTTGTTCATTTGAATTCAAATGAAAATCAAACCGTTGTGACCGTCATTCTAATTTTCCCCTACTCCGAGCCAATCTGAACCGCGCGAAACCCTAATATATCTCGAAATTCAGTTTTAGCAATCTTTTATTTAAACTCAAATCCCATAGTTTCAAATCCATCCATTGTACCATAAATAAATGAATAATAATAATACTTTCCATTGAAAAAAAATGTTCTCATCAATTCAATTATATACATAAATGTGTGGTTCTGAAAAAAGTTGAACCTGTACCAAATCATTAAGACATTTCATTGTCTAATGTAAACACTGCTACAGTATGACCATACCACTCTCTCAAAGACAAAACTGACAATGCTCAAACACCATCAAGCTTTTATGCAGACACAGCATTGTGCATGAGAAGCATGGTTAAAGCTTTCGAGCCCTGATGATCACTAGCTTCAAAGACATGTTTAAGGTCCTTCGTTGGTAGTTATGCAACGTATCGACGGATCTACTACCATTTTCTCCTCCTCAGCATCTTCAGAGCCAACTGCAGAACCGTTCTCAGAATTCAATTCACAGTATAAAACCCCCTTGCCTTCGAGATCGTCGGATTGACAGAGCTCACCATCAATCTCTGATTGATCTACTTCTCCCGGCAACCTCAAGGCGTAATCTCTCTGTGTCTGGCTCACTCTCAACATCGTGTCTCTGGTTGATACTGATGGTTTGGGTGTTTGGGAACCAACCAAATCTGCGACTCTCACCTTGTCCAGCAAAATATTTTTTCAGTCAGAAAATATCCGATTGCTTAAGCGACAAAATGTACTACACGACATGCAATTACGGCATAGAGATGCATGAAACCAAGAGAAGTAAAACACAATAGTGCATGGCATGACACTGTACATTAGGGTTGCAGATGCTATGATTTCAGAAAACTTCAAATATTCCATGATTTCAGAAAAACTCAAATATTCCATGATTTCAGAAAAATTCAAATATTCCACCTATGTTCAATCAATAACCTCCAAAATATTCTGGACATATTCGTGTCTGTTGCTATTATATCACGGAACTTATGGATCCCATGTGCTTAGAAAGGAGCATTTTCACATTTATCTAAATTTGGAAACCTATCACAATCTGTTGAGTTGCTTGAGCCTAAAAATGATAAAGTCAGATGACACAAAACGATCCATCTGTCAGATCCCTCTTAAAATATCATGTAAAAATCAGATAGTCCACAAAATGGAAAAGCAAAAAGACCCATACAGAAAAGAAAATAATAATAATAATAATAAGAACATTCTACAATGCTCCTAAAAGTTCCAACTAACAAGAAATCAGGAGAAGCAGGAGCCTGATGCAACTTTAAGCACATTCTTGGTTTGTATAAGAAGGCTACTACACACAACACACGCATGTATATTTTAGTACCTGCAATGGCTTCATAACATCAGCTTCTTGATCATCAGTCTTGCTAAATTCTTCTTGAGCTTGTAGCTCCATAGAGTCTCGAACAAGCTGACTGAGAAAGGTTACATCATCAGACATGACACCAAGCCCTTTCAAAAGCTTAGAGCCAAGCTGCAAACTCGTCTGCAGGAGGAATAAATTGGAAAAAGTCACAGTGCTCAGGCAACATACAAGGAAAAATTTTCATTGTAAAACCTAATATCAAAGGAGAGTCAATTTTGATACCTCTGCATTTTCAAGAATAGCATCTGTGGCACCTGCTTTTTTCAGATCTAAAAGATGTTTGAGGTCTTGAGCTCTGGCATATACTGGGATCTGCTAAAATAGAATTTCACCAGGAGATTAGTTATTAAAAGAGAAAAGAAAAAAGAGTTTCACCAGGAATTTAACAAATTAAAAGAGCTTCAACAGAAATTGACACCATATCCCATTTGCTTATTACAAAGTTTCATGGAATTTAAAAATCAATGCAACAAACCTTGGCCATAACTAAATGTTCTGAATCAAAGAGGTCAAGTACATATACAGTGAGGACAAGAAGGTTTCACTCAATGAAAGGGACAGAGGTTTCATAAGCTTTCCCGAACAAAGTTGGCAGCCCCAGGTAGAAAACAGATGACAAAATTTTAAACAACTATTTGTCCCAAATGTTCATGGTCCATCTGCTTTCTGTGACTTCAAATATGGACATAAACTACTGTGCGTGAGCATGTGTGTCTCAGAGAGAGAGACAGGGGGAAGGGAAAAAATACCGCAGGGAAGGCAAGCCGAATCCTCTTTACAGCCTCAATTGTTCTCTTCTTCTCGGTGTACATGACCATTACAGCTTTTGGAGAAGATATACCAGCAGATTGCAAGACAGCTGGACGTGATCCATCACCATAAAGGATTGGAAAACCAAGTTTCCTAGATGCCTGTTGTGGTTATAGTGAAAAACTTTTAATGTCAATCACTTTATTATTTTTGGGCATGTAAAACAGAAGAACTATTTTGTAATTAGAAGATTTGATTCTACAAAACCACTTAAAGTTACAGTTAGATGCAAAATAGAAGTTGGCAAGGACTCTTTACAGTACTCATGAAAGGCAATAAATTCTTTAAAATATTTCCAGAAAAGCACAACTCTGGCACAAAATAAATTTGACAATTCTTTTTGACACCTAATTTCCACGGTTGGCATGAGCAACAAATTGCAACCTCATAAGTATAGCACAAATCATGCTTTATGTGGAAGGTTACTTTGTAATTACTTTAACCTAATGCAATCCTTGGAGGCTTCTAAAAAAACTGTTCTCAAACTTTCTTCCAACTTTAATTATAAACAAACATCCATATACAATTATAAATAGAGACTCAAAATGATATCATTGAACAGAAACACAAAAATACATAACACGTATATGCATATGCATATACCAAAAGATAACAATTTTGAAATAAAAAATCATCAGTACATATATCAAAGCCATGATGTCTGGAATTGCATGTCTAACACCAAAATTCTAGAGGCACGCATTTGATGGATCTAATATTTCAATCAAAAAAGTATTGTCAGATTCACTCATCCGACCTCTCAAAAGAAAATGAAAAAGTGGAGCATTCAATTGGCCCAGATTGAAAAAAGTATTGTCAGATTCATTCATCCGACCTCTCAAAGGAAAATGAAAAAGTGGATCATTCAATTGGCCCAAATATTAATGAAGTTTCCTATGCATGACAAACTAAACAGTGTGGTTCCTGCAAGTTTTACGTGTATTTCGTATGGCAAGGACAATATCCACTTTAAACTCATGTTATTAAAAATTTTCCTACGGCCCTTGAGAATTTTTTTAATTTTAAATCAACATCTAAACACGTGACTCCAAGAATTTAAAGGCAAGCAATGTGAATGAAAATCTCACTGACCTTGACCACAGACGGATCAAGATCAAAAGCCACATAAGGCGATCCCACAACATTGTCATCAACTCCAGAAGCCAATGGAGTAGACAAGAAATTCGCAAGGACCTGTACAACAGAAAGAAGTCAAGAGTGGAGAACTACTATTCCGGAAAATCTAGTGTTCATAGTATAATAATACAGTACCTGACCCATTTGCCCAAATCCAAGGATAACTACTGGTTCACTTGCATCAAAATTCACCATATCAGCAGTTTTCTGTCATGATTTGAATTTTCAATTATAGCAAAAGAATTTAAGGAATAAACTAAATTAAATCTGGATGTGAGAAAATCCTAATTATCTACCCAAATTCCAGTAGGAGTAGGTTGTACAAAAATTGTCACAATGTGAAAAAGGGTAAACGACCTCCTTAATTACTGATTTTCATGATCCTAACCCTTTCATTTCTCAACTTCCTTTTTCCACAAGTCACGTGTTTCTTTACTAAATCATAATCATATTACAGCTTTCCAATAATTAGTTTGGTTAACTTTCTGATATCTGAGACTTGCATTGGAGCAGTGGAGCCATGAAATAATAATTACCCAACTGCAATAGTGGCGTATCATGGTTACCTCCAGTTTTCTCATTTACAATAAAAAATAAAAGACTGATAACTAAGAGTACAAATTAATAACTTACATCATCTTCATCATACTTCTCACCAATAAAATCAGCAGCCTTTCTTCCAACATCATTAAGCAAAGGGGTTAGAGCCATTGACAACACAACAACAATTATGAGCAGTTTATTCAGCTCAAGTGGTAGTACTCCAAGCCTATAAAAAGAGGATATTATGAGCAGCTTTCAAACACTACATGCACTCATGCGTAGCAAGAATGTGACGTCACAACTGACCTGTTCGCTAGCGAGAAAACTACAAAACCAAACTCGCCTCCTTGGGACAAAAGTAATCCAATTCTTACACTCTCTTGTATGGTTAGTCCAACACGGGGACCTATTGCTGTTATAATTAGTGTCTTGATAACAATTAAACCAGCCAGGAGTGAAAGCACGTTGGGCCACTCTCGGAAAAGAACCTGCACAAGGAAAAAAATGAATGTATAAAAATGTAGCAAAGGATGAATGTATAAAAATGTTTCTCAATTTTTAAATCTAAAAGTAAAATGGTATGGAAAAAATATACACTGCACAAAGCAGTTTTTAGGTAAACATGTTATAAGAAATTTTTAATTTGTCTTTTGCCTAGACAATAAATCATGGGTCAGTACAAAAATATGCAGCTACGCTACATATTGATCAATTTATCATCATGTCATGCATGGGGACAAAAATGAACAGTACAGTAACAATAAGTAAAATGCATGGCATTAGAAAATAGATGTACCTGCATGTCAATAGAAGTCCCAGTAGTTACAAAAAATAACCCAAGAAGTAAGCCTCTAAAAGGCCTAATATCGGCTTCGATCTGTGTTCGGAAATTTGTTTCCGCTAATAGTGCCCCGGCCAAAAATGCTCCAAGCTGCACATGTAATCAAATTCAATAATTACAACAACTGATCCAATTGAATGATACTAGTTCCATCCATTTTCCATATTTGAGAAAGATATATCGAACCGTGTCACTGAAGCCCAACTTCTGTGTTATAAGTGAAGTTCCAGCAACTGTCAGAAGGCAGAGAGCAACAAAAGCTTCTGAACTCCTTGCTTCTGCAACAAACTGGAAATGATAAACTTCATTTAGTTTTTTGCAGCACATAATAACATGTCTTTGGAGCCTTTTTTTGGTGCGCGCGCGCGCGCGCGCACGTGTGTATCTATGATGCATACCTCAAAAACCCGCCTAAGAAGGTATTTTCCTCCAAGAGAAAGAAGACCCAGTCCTCCTAAAGCCTTCAAACTTTCTTTAGCAAGCATTGGCCAAATACTTCCCTCGACCAGATTCTGCAGAAAAAAATAGTTAGCAATAATAAAACATGGAGGCTTAATGAATAACTTCATGTATCGAATGAGAAGTCAACATAATTAAATCAAAGGGAAATCGTGGATTAGTTAAAAGGAGAGTTCAATTAATGCGCAGAAAATGAATTTCAATATATCTCCCCATATAAGATGAACATGCAAACAAAAGATTTGTGGTGCCATGAGATGATTAATGATAAAAATGGGCTGCAACCTTTAGCCTACACCGCCAAAGAAGGTAGACTTCCGTATACTTGTTAGAAGGTTCCGGATATATCAACTGGCTGTAATAAAACAGGAATCCGATGTGGCACTTTGCTATCTAAGCATGGCACCCAGTTACCCACTAGCAGTTAGTTCAAAGTTGGTACATAAGAAATGTGACAAACAAACTAATTGTTTATGGTTACGTTACCACATTATTGCGGTTATTTGATTTAGTGGAATGCATTGGCACATTGTGGGAAGAAATTAATAAAATAAAATAAAAAACCTACTTCTCCATTGATTCTTTTGACCACATAGATCCCGTGGGATCATGTAGTTTTAAGGTAATAAATACTGAACTACATATTTACTAGCCTTGGCCTCCAAAACTTAGTTTGGTTTGAGGAGTACTGAAGTCCAAACTACATATAGCGCTGTGCAGTGCGACAATCAGCTTGCAGAAGATGATACAAATCTGATGGGAGAATTGCAACCATGGAAAGTCCAAGTGGCAGATCCAGACTCCTATTTGCCATCAAACGTAACCTGAAGGAGTGTTGGATCACACATTGCCAATTCCGGAGCATAAGCTCAGAACAAGCCAAAACAACTTTGCAGTAGAGGTGAAAGATGGCCTCCATTAGTTCTAATCTTAGATAACTTGTCTAAAACCACAATCCAAGCCATTTTAGAACATAATATTTCCATAAAATTCAGTCACCATTTTGATTCCTCAACCCACCTTATTTTTAATCCATGAGAAGCAGCCAACAATTCAGCCGCCAAATTAGTTCCTTTACCCAGGTTACTGTAAGGCCATAATGCATAGCCAGACCTCAGCCACCAAAATTGAATCACCACATTTGATCATCTAACCATGTAATTTTTAGGCCATGAAAAGTACCTCCAGAGTGGGCTCTCACTCAATGTATATTGAACTAGAGTGAAGCAGAACTCATATTTCTGAGAATATTTAAGCTCACTCAAAAGGCAAATTTTATTTTATACTTATCAGTTATCACCAGTATAATATCCTAGAATTAAGTTAATTATAATGAAACACATATTTCATAAAAGGGTTCAAAACATAATAGAGAAATGTATAGATATGCTTCTATGCAAGATGCTGAATACATAAAGGGATTTTCCTAACCTTTTCTTAAATAATGAGAGTTGAAGGGAAGCTTCATTTAGTAATACAATTAGTTAAATAATTTGAAACAGAGTAAGTTAGTTACCAAAACCTTAGAAAGCAAAAAATTAACAACATCAAACCTATGTCCATGAAGAAAAACAAATTATTTTCTAAAATAAATTAAATTTATTTCGTAAGAAGTTAAATTTAAACATTTCAAGTTTTTCTTACCTGACTCTCGAGCACTGGAAGTATGACTAAGAGAGGGACAACTGCTATGTCCTGCAAATATCAAGTAGTAGGGATCCAAAAAGGTTATTGACTTGATACTTTTTGACGCACTTTGCATGACCTGTCCTATCCAATACAGAAAGAAAAATAAAACGAAATATAATAGCATTATGAACTAAACAGAAGAATTTCAAATTGATGTCACCAATTCTCATAAAAATCGAATGCAACCTGTAGTAGAAGTATCCCCAGAGTTGCTGAGCCAAATCTAGTTGGAAGTTCACCCTTCTCTGCAAGAAGCTACATAACATACTAAGTGAGAATAACCAATTATATCCAACCTTATTAGCAATAATCTGTATTTTCATCAACATGAGATACATTATAAACTGTAAATTCAATCATATGGAGCACAAACTTTTCTTCTTCTTTTCCATTTTAATTGGCAACAAAAATTTATTAGAACATATGAAAGACTAAAAGAACCCTGATACACATCTCAAATGAATCAGGAGAACAAAGAACAAGAAAAGGAAGTAATTTAACTAAAACCACACACGAAACCTAAAGAGTAAGAAATTTCACTATAATAACTAGAAACAGCTTAGCCGTCAACCCCAGAGTCTGCTTCACTGTTATGTTCACTATGATGTTGGTACCTTATCTTCACTATGATGTTGGGTATATATCTACTTATCTACTCAATGTTAACACCTGGAATGAGAAATCATACAAACAGGTCAAAACTAAACCCAATTAAGTTTAGATATGACAAATGAAAAATGGAACTTAATTTGTCCTGGAAATTAGCGCTGCTTATTGTGTAATTGATTCCAAAGTACTTTCTCTTTTTTGCACAATATTTTTAAAAAATCTTGTCATATCATTGAAAGCTTTCAAGTGCATCACACAATACAAAAATCGAGAAGTATGAAGAAACAAAAAAAAATTTATTCCTATGGTGTATAGTTTGATAGGAATGAATAAGACTAATAAAGGGATTTCTATTTCAAGTGTACATTGTCCATATTACCTTTAATGAAAAATTTGAAAAAGGAGATGCTTCAAATATTTATTCAAAGCTTTCCTATGGTTTGGAAAGCCTGAACTAGCTTCATTAGGGCCTATGCCAGCATATAGAAAGCAACTAGTCCTACCACAAAATAAAGTCTTGATCACTAAAATTAGATTACCTGCAGAACAAAAGCTGAAGAAGACAACGAAAGAGCAGCACCAATCACTACAGCCTCATCAATGCTTCTGATATTTACCTACAGTCCATTCAAACCAGTATTAGTGAAGCTGAATAATAAGAAGGGAATCACAAAGAACACAAGCAAGATGGTCTTCATAGAACAAGGCATTCTTTAACATGTAGTCTAAACCACCCAGACCCAGCTGCCACATCATAGCTTCAAATCGTAAGAACTTGATATACATTCTTTTGAGTCATTCTCTGGTAGCTTAAGCTTTTGAGGCAAATGATTTTCTAACAGAGGCCTTGGATTCAAACTCTCACCCCCTCTTGGGACACAGAGTCCTCGCTGGTCTGACCTGCATGGACTTGTGCACGCCCCCCATTTCTGGATGGGGATTGGTTCTGATACCATTTGGCACGACCCGCCCTGCACCATGTAAATATTGTCCGCTTTGCACAAACTCCTCTCAGTGTTCACGGTTTTGCTCAAAATGTGTCTACATGGTTAGGGGGTGCCCGCACATATAAATCCCAGGAACTTCTCCCCCCAAGTGTGAGTTTGGATATGTTCTGCCCATAGTTGCTACAGATGTGCCTAGGCTCCAAAAAAACCCCAGACTTATCAAGGATCAGGAGGAAGGGCTCAACCTAATAAAGCCAGGCTAACATAAAGCCCTCAGGCTGCCCCCAGGCTTGCGCTTTTCAGTGGACTCCAGGCTCAAAAAAAGCGTGGCTAATAACTTTTGTCATTCCTTCATATCATATTCTGTGTTTCTTTAATAGAACATGGATTTACATAATCTACATCAAATCAGGGTCATATTCAATGGATCATATTGTTTAATCTAATGTCTGTTTGCACTACTTTTTTCTCAACTAAAAAGAAATTAAAAAAAAAAAAAAAATTTTTGTTTGCACTACTTAAATTAAATGCGTCCTGTGCTTGATGCTTGATTTTCATCATAATAAAATAAATATTTAAAATAACATGATTATTGCTTTTTATTGGTGCAATGTTTAATATAATAAATGCTTGATGCTTGATTTAGTTAATGCATATGGATAAAGAAAGGATTTAAGCTCATTTTATTCTTTTTAATATTCATTTCTATTAAATACGCACTTTACTAATCAGGCCCGCGCCTAACATTGCACCTTGCGCATAGGCTCCAGGATTTCTTGGCGCCTTAGTGCGCCTTGAGCCTGTAATAACTATGCTTTTGCCTATTGTATTTGTTGTTTGGACACTATGTTCTGTTTGTTAATTTGATTGCCTCTCCTTGTTTATTGGTGGTATCACGTGAGGGAGAATATGAGAATTAGATATAAATTTCCAGGCGCATTCCTTCAAAGCTTAAACTTCTGAGAAAATACCCACCAGAACCAACGCTCACCTTGTTAGAATACCACTAGCCTTGAAAGCTTAAACTATTAATGAATGAACCTAATAATGTATATCAAGCTTTCACAACATTCTTTGCATAAAATTCATTAATTAATGGAAGTTCGTAAGGCATGCGGAATTTTGAAACCAGGACATCAAATCTTATGCTGGAAAATCTGAACTTCAACTTCAGTTCAAACATAGGTCACCACAACAAAAAATTCATTTCCAACACTGTACAGAAGTATGAAATCAAATTACAACTTACTCAACAGCAAGTTGTGTGCATGAGCCAAAGGACAAAGAAGTAGAAAAGATGAATGATCCAAAACTAAATTCCAAACAATTCACTTTGATGCTACTTTTCTTTCTTTTCAAAATTCATCTCATGAAAGATTGCATCTGGATTCGTACCGGTACTTCTAACGATTATAACTACATTATTGCTTGTGATTCTACTTTCCACATCACTTATACTGGAACTGCAGGTGCCAATTCTCAAAAGCTCCAAAACAAAAAAGACACACGGGATAATAAATAAACTTAGTAATACTTTATTAATTTTAATTAATATATACTAACTACTAAATAATTAATTGTATACTTGTTATAAGTATTAGGAGAAAAATGCAGAAAACCCCTTAAACTATTTTCTTTTTGCAAATACCTTCGACCCAACAAAAAAAAAAATCATAAACTAGAAATTTTTGCAAATTGGGCCATGATGTTAGGTCAGTAATTACATTAAACTACCAAAATACTCATAAATTATGTAGTTGTGTGAAGGGTCTGTCTACCATATATCCATCTGATAGAGTTACAGCTTGTGCCATAGTTTCTAAATGGTAACTTAAGTTGACCTTTTCTGAGATGTATCAAAACCACAACGTGTTCTCCTGTTATTTAAAAATTACAGTCAGACAATTCCGTTGATGGTATTAACATAGCTTGTAATTTTACTATTTTAACCATAAGTTATGTCAATCCTCATTTAGGAAAAATTAAAAAAATTAACATAAAGACGAAAAATCTTTCATACCATTTTATTTCTCTCTCTAAAACTCTCTCTTCCCTCTTTACAGAACTCTTTAATCAAAACCCTCAACTACTTAAAAACAAAAACACTCACCCCACCACTATATATAAGACTTCCCGTCATATATTAGGGTTTCGACTTTGCTTTCTTTGTTTTCATGTGTTACTCTCTTCATCCAATATGTTTGTGATATATGTTTTTCATTTCATTAAGGTCACAACTATTTTTTTGAGAGTAATGGAAGACGCTAGGAATTAAGTTTCCGTTTGATGATATTGAGAGGAGTAATTTTCTTTCACTTTTTTTTTTTTGGGGGGGGGGGGGGGGGGGGGGGGAGTTAAAACTTGAATTATATTTACCAAATTTGGAGATAAAAGATCAGTGGCAGTAATTGAAAGGTGGTCTTCATCAGTCTGATGCAATAGGGTTTTCTCACTCTGCACCTCATCGATGGAAAACGTTTAATACATTCACCTGCACGAAGAAGAAGACAACTGAGAAGATGTGATGACCCTTGATTATTGATGCGACAATAATTTTGGTTTTAAGGGTCCTCACTTTCCTAAATAGTTGTTGTTCTCAAACCTACTTTTCTGGATTAGTGATTTACGAGACAATTGCTCTTGAAGAGTGAAAACTCATTCTTCTTCTGAATGAGCATGGGGATTTCTTTAACAAGTCAGTATCCCACTAGCCCTGCTAACTTTACTGTCCTCCTTTCCTTTTCTCTTATTTCCATGAGAAACTTTAGAATCTCAAACATATTAAATTATGATTTTAGCATCACCTGACAATTTCTTTCAAAGAAAATGAAAAATATGGTAAACCCCATGGGGTTGGCTTAGTTGGAAAAAACTTGAGCCCTGGTGCCTCGTGAAGCATCAGGCCTCAGGATCGATTCCTGCTAGGTGCAAACAATTCCTTGGAGAGGGGGTGTACCGTGTGTGAGTACCAACTAGGAAAAAGAATAAAGAAAAAATATATCTATGGTAGCCAATTGTGTGGAGACTTCTTTGTGTTGATTTACAAAATTTGCAATTTTTGGAAATTATATAGATGATATTATATGTTTCATAAAATTTAACTAAATTTGATTAATTGGTATAATAAATTAAGTGGTTACATTGAGGGTAGTTATGTCATTTCATAACTACTGAATGGGGTTAAGAGGGTAACAAAGTGTTCACACACATTTCAAGGGTAAAGTTAATATTTTGATTATTTATTTTCCTGACATGAGTGAATTAGGTACTTGACAAAGGGAGACCGAAGTATGTTTGACAGGGAAGGTCACTTAATTTTTTTAGTAATGGGGAACACGCAGCAATTCCGATAAACCTCAGGGGAGGTTAGTGTAATATTCTTTTCTAAATGAAACAAATGACCTGTCCTTTACAAAATGACCAGACTATCTAATATATTCTTCTCCGCTTAAGAATCTTAATATATATATATATATATATATATATATATATATATGTATGTATATATATACATATTTATACACTAACCTCAGGGTAGGTTAGTATATATATGCCCATAGGTGCTCTAAAACAAATGAACACAGATGAAAAGGAGCGCAGAGGTCAAATAGAAGTGACTAATGACATCACTGACTGCCCCCAAGTATTGTCCACCTTCACCAACCTCTATCACTTCCTCTTTTGGTGCAATGAGGAGCTCTAATCTTGGAAATATCCTGTAAAAGAAACTCACCTGTCCAAAAACAGAGCCTCCCCATTGACCCACCTCACAAATAATTGAGGTCCATATCGGCACGAATCTCTACCACAGCACCACTCTCGAATTAAAATATATATCTATATGTATATAAATATAAAAAGCAAAATAAAAAACTTGACTCCGATTAAAAGATAACCGTTAAAGCAATTGCAGTAATTACTGGAGGCTGTTCTAAAATGGCAACTTGAATGCAACTAGAAACAATATTTTAATGTAGACAAAACCATAAAAAGTTGTTCCAAAAACAAATAAGGGTTTAGATTTATAACAAAATAACAAAAATTTCAAGCGTCGAGAAAAAGATCAATATACATTCAACTTCTCAACATCAAATTACATTCAACAACCCATCAAGATTCAAGACAATTTCTTAAACAGTGCCAAAAACATTGTGAAACGGATATTGTCAATTAAAATCTACCAACTTTTATGTAATCAATCAATCTTCAATAACAAACACCCTAAGCGTGCAGATTTGAACCAAGAAGTCTCACAAGAAAAAGAGGGGAAAAGGGAAACAAAAAGGGGAAAAAGAAAAGTAATGGAGTATATTATTGACACAAACATATAAGGTTTTCTAATTGATGAGTTCGAGAATCTAAATAAATTTGCAGAAGATCGTGAATCTCGAAATGGGTTCTTTTTATATGAGATATACAGGGAAAAAACGAAAAAGAGCTACATGAATAATGGAAAATCGAAACTACTAGAACCAATCATTCCTAATTTGCCCATCTTTGGAGCTCGGTGCTAGCACCTCTGAATTGAAGCTCCCACTCTACCTAAAATCCCTGCTGAAGAATGACAATTTCATTCTCAATTTTCAAGATTCTCTATCCACCTAGACCTCCAGTGTTAATGTCCCCCTTTCTTTTTGCCAACTATCTTACTACTTGCATGAGAATGGGATGAGATATCAAAGATTGAAAAGGTGGACAGTGGTGGAGTTTGGAGGTGATGGAGGGAATATGCAGTTTGGATGATTAAGATGAATTGGCTCAGTTAGAAACAAAGAGAATGATTGTGAGGTTTGATGGGCTGTGATATAAATACGTGTGTGTGTGTGTGTGTGTGTGTGCGCGTGTGTACGTATACAATATATATATATATATATATATAAAGAGAGAGAGAGAGTAGATAGGAGTAAATTACATTATTTTAACTTAGGATAAATTTGATAAATATATATATATATATATATATATATATATATATATATATATTACTAACATGTCAATTTTTTTTATTTTTTATAACAGGTCAGTTTCATAATGTGGATCATTACAAATGGATCAAAGACATTGTGGTCATTCAAAGAGTAAAATTGTCATAATAGCAAAAATATTAGTCATTTATATCAAACATGACTATACTCCTTCCAAACTCAAGAAATTCTGATGACTACAAATGGAGAAAAACAAAGAAGTGATAATTTGGTGATCGTAGACCCCATGGCTCTAGAAACCATGGACTCCATGGATTCCAGTATGAGAGGCAAGAGATTCATGATATCCTTCCTGTTCTCGAGATTTCAATGAACATGGACTCCATGGCTCCGAGTGACAGAGATGCAATATGACAACAACATTAGATTCTAGAGAGAGAGAGAGAGGCAATATTATGGTTCTAGGATGATTGTCATCAAGTGTCCTACTAACCATGGTGAATATAATGTGCCCATTCTCCACCGAAGCAATTCTTTTTCTAATTGAATCAAACTCAATGAAAAATCAAAGCAAACTCTCTATGCAAACTCCGGCTACAGGAGAGTTAATAATGTGAGTCCTTTTCAGAGCAGGCATAAGAAGTGGCTCGAGGAGTTGCACAAAAATTGGAATCTCCAGCTTTGGGAAACTGGACGCGAAGACTTGGGATTTTGCACTTGGGAAAGAATTGCAACATTGAGTCACCTGTGTCCCTTAAAACTGAATTTCAACAGATTTAAACTAAGGTTATCAAATAGACAACATTGAGTTATCAGTGAGATATATATTTTGTAATTGGCTAATTTCGCTGTCAAAACAAGTCCGATCAAGTTGTAATTCTGAGTTCAAAATTCAAGTTTGAGATCGGAAGTGGAATTGAAGAGTTGTTCGTGATCAATAGCTTGGCAACTTCGAAAAAGGTAAGAACAATACCTTAGGAAGTTTAGTTAGAATGTGAGGACACTTGCATGCATTGCATGTTTTCAAAAATAAGCGTTGCTGAAATTTTTCCAAGTGTAAAAGTTTTCAGTTCAGAACTTCAGGTCTGGCCAACTTGAACCGGTTCAAAAGCAACTGAACCGGTTCAAGTGTTAAAGCTTCGTTTTAAAAATAACACATTGGCCAACTTGAATCGGTTCAAGTTCTGCAGCAGTTTTTGGTAACTTTGTTTCAAACTTCCTATTTTGTAGACTTTCTTCTAAAACCTTATGCACGAAATTGACTTATTTTCCAAGTTCAATTAGGGTTTCAAAAGTCTATATAAACATATCTTCTCACTTAGGGTTGTGTGGCTTTTTGCATTAAAAATCTGATTTTCATTAAAAGCCTTATTATGAGATTTTTAAGAATATACACACTATATACACACGGGTGAATTTCGGGTGTTGTTCAAATCCTAATCGTATTCAAGTCTATTAAAGATTGCATCTACAACGATTAGAGAAAGCAGATCTTATTTCTTATACAACAAAATCATATTCGAAGAAGAAGAATTTCATATCACACTTTGAAGGGATCAAGGCGCTTGAGGAGTGTTGTTGATCTACCAACAATCCTTCTACAAGGTTCGAGGCATAAGTCTGAAGTCGAGAGCTGTTGGAAGGGAAGTCGCAAATCAGGGACGTTCAGCGGATTGAGTCATGGTAGAGCGAAGGGGTTTGAGTCTGAGTCAAAGTTCGGTGTACTTTGCTTCATACATAGTGGATCTTTTTACGCTTGGGATAGCAGACAAAACCTCGAGGTTTTCCAATTGGTTTCCTTGATAAAATCCGTTGTCACTCTAAACTTTACTTGCTTTTAATTTCTGTGATTGTTTAAATAACCGGTAATTTTAGTAGAGTAATTCCTCTCTCAAAACAGTTTTAAAAAACTCAAACTTTCCACAACCTATTCCGCTGCACAACTCACATTACCTATGTCCCTTAAAACTGAATTTCAACAAATTTAAAATAAGGTTGTCATTGTCTATTCGATGCGGGGACAAACTTATCTTTCTCGTATAGGAGGGAAATTTAGCTTTCCCCATAGTTAAATGCTTACACAATTCTATATTCATTGGACTGAGATAGGCCCTATTAAGGACCATTATTGGACCAACTTTTTTTAAACCTGAATTATGCCCAACCTGACCCCGATTAGAAAACCTGCAACCTGGTACGAATCAGGCTCGAAAACCAACTGGGCCACAGGCCCAGCACGGGCTTCACACAATTTCTTTGGCCAGGCCCAGCCTGCACGTTAACTGGTCAAAGCCGGTCAAGCCCCTGTCCAGGCCTAAAATCTTACGTTGGAGGGAGCTGGCGCATTTGTGGTCCCTATGTAGAAGTATACGCTAAAAAATCCTTAGTTGATTCTACAAAGATCCATTGATCTAAAGACATAAAATAACTAACAACAGCATGCTGCTTGATATAATAACGTATTCAAATATTAAAATTTTCAATGCACAAGGTCCATAAAGCAATGAAGCACATACGGCATTTGTAAGAATTTGCTTCCACGAAACTGAAACGAATAGCAACACCGTAGATTCTTCTGCAGCCTGTTACCTCAAAAACAACATTGGCCTAAGTCTAATTTTGACTCTTACAACCACTATTCCTATCAAGAGTTGTGGAATACAATGAGACGGAAGATGCTCAAAACACCATCTAAATCAAAGCCAGCTTAAACACATAAAATCCAACTAATGTCAATGCTTGCCGCATTTTGACGGAGTTCCAACCCAAAAATATGGCAGAGCAAAACAATGGTAGTCCATTTTACAATTAAGATTAAGGATGCATTAAAAGGGGGAAAAAAAAAAAAGACTCACCAAATCAGGCCTTGAATGAAAAAGGAACTCCAAAATTCTTGTTCCAATAGCCCCATTTGGTGGAAGTTCAAATGCCGTGAAAGCAAGAGTACATAATACAACCTTCAAAATAACACAAGCCAATAAAAATAAGGCAACAAATTCAAAAAGTTGCCTAGAATTTCTAGGACACATGATATTTTCCAGCAAAACAGTAATATAGTCAAAAAGTTGACTAGTAATACTAGAATAGTTAATATTTTCTTGCAAAACAGCTTGTAACATGTGTAGAAATTAAAGAAAACTAAACACAGAAGAAAATAAACAGCAAGCACATGCATTAAAATAAGATCTGACAATGGTAAAGCCATGGGATGATTATCTGAATAACCTTTTCATTAAGAAAAAAGGATATGAACTCGACACATTTGTCGTGTCATTTTTTGGCACAAGCCTTTGTAACAAAGTTAAAGCGCACGATGGACATACAAGATTATAAACAACAAGCATTTATACAAAATGACATCTGCAAAGGTAAAGCCATGCCATAATTAGCTAAATCAACTTTCTATAAGACAAACTTGCGGGATCTTCTATAAACTCCCACAATAAATTTGTCATGTTACCTTTTGGAACAAGACCCCATCATATAAGAAATGCATGATAACAACAAAGGATGATCATAGATATAGGTTACACAGCAAAAGTTGTAGCTGTTATGTGGCAAGACATCCAATGAGGGTGACAGGAGCCAGCGTATATTGCATATTAAACGAGTATTAAGGTTTTTGTCAATGTATCAGGAAACAAAATCAAGGCTTTCAATAAAAAGTCATGATGCTTATTAACTTATGAAACTTTACATGATGACATAACCAAACTGCAGGTAGGTCGAATTTGGACATGACAAGCTGCATTATGCAGCAGTTGTTGGACCCAAACCTGAGTTTTGAGCTTTCTGAAAACTGGAGAAGAAAGGTTATATGTGAAAACCTGATTGGTTTTGGGCATGACAAATAGGCCTGCTGTGTTATCTGTGTTTGATCCAAAGACTTTGACCTTTATTTATCATATCATACATACCTCAATAACTTAATAGAACCTATTCCCACAACTTGAGGTCAACTTTTAATAGTGATGCTCAACGGATAGAGATATTATATTCAATATGATTTAATTGTCTCCTCGACACCAAGATACAATCAGAATTTTAGTTTTTGTCAACACCATACCTGAGTTAGTCCCATCCCAAAGGCGAATTTCGCAAGAGCTTTTAAACGTGCAAGTGAAAGCTCCAAACCCATCTCAAACAGCTGCAAAGAAACATTTAATGAATATGCATAAGAGAACCACAAGATCTTAATCACATTAAACTACCTATTTTTGGATGATCAATAATTACAAGGAAGAAATAGCCACAGAAAAAGTGGATAGAATACAATGCATACTGCAGAAACCATCTCACATGTTTCCAAATCTATATAAGCTCACTGAAAAAGCAGTTCTTCCATAGCCATTCAAATTACTCTTGATGCCCTAACAGCTAACATTCAGTAATATGGAAACGCTCAAGCAAAACATAAACGATCCAAACCCGATTTAAAATTAGGAAATCCATGATGTCACCATAGGATGTTACTTCTTTAAGATTATTTCATTAAATTACTCTTTTGTTATGTCACCTTATGATGTTACTTCTATAAGACAATTTCATTAAAAAAACACTTTTGTTATTTTCTTTAGTTAAAATATTAGTTTATTAAAGACCATTATCCAATGTGGTCCTCATTTATGAAGGATGCTAGGAGGGTAGACTTGGTACAAACCTAACCTTTCACATATATATATATATATGTGTGTGTATATTTTTTTTTCCTAATTGGTACTCACACACACATGCCTCCACCGAGGCTCGAACCCCTGACCTACCTTTGGGAAGTAGGAGCTTGGCACCGCTAGGCTACTAGCCTATTGGTTAACCTTTCACATAATTCACACAAAGTTGCAAACTTGCAGTCCTTAACCTCAAAACTGCAAGCCAGTATTCTCACACTTGGCAATATGAGCTACACCAGGCAATGAACTCTGCAAATATCACTCCTATATTGTTAGGAAAATATTAGAGTTATATTATGATTAAAATAGGAAGTCAGTAACACTTATCAGAAGTAGGAGGCCTATCACCTCTCCAAAAAAAAGGATGAAGAAGCAATTGTTAGGAGATTCATGCTGGCTGGAAGTGGGAGGTTCCTCCATTTAAAATAATTTTGGAATGGGTAACTCACACCACATTAGCAAGGAACTACTGACCGGAAGAAAATTATCTAAAATGAATCAAGGATGACAGAAACAAATGGACTTTGACACCAAAAGATAACAACTAAGAAAATACTTGACAAGTGCTGCAACAGTATTTAGTGCCTCAATGTGAAAGTGAAAGAGATACTCAAAGTTGCACAAATTATTGTCGTATTAAAAAATGAGCCATACTACCAAAGTTTGTGAGAGAATGATTGAATAACGACCAAAACTTGAAGCAACATCATCTGGGGTAAAATAGAAAATATTTTCATTTTTATGTCTAGAAGGTCAATGAAAGAAGTTTTTTACTTACTAAGGAGACCTTAGAGTTGTGAAAGAACAAGAAAAACCTTCGTCTGACTTTATAGACTTGACAAAAGCCTATAACAGGGTCTTTAGAGATGTATGGTTGGTTTTAGGAAAAAACAGAGTCACAAGTAGTAACACGATAAGGTACATGTTTGATAAAGCTGTAACAACCACAGCACAAGAAATGAGCAAATTCACGATAGGTATTTTTATTGTTTTTTATTTTTATTTTTTTGGCTGTAATTTATGGATAATTTAACTGTACAGTAGACATGTTCTGTATGAGATACATAGTGTATCCTATTTCCTTGTAATATTTTCATTGATGAAACTAAAGTAAGGTTAAATACTAAATCAGAAGTCAAGAAGAAAAGATTTAGAATTAACATGGTTTAAGATAAGTAGGACTGAAATGGAGTAAAAAGAATGCAACTTTAGCTTTCCCCGAATTACAAATGGAGAGAAACTATCGACTAAAAGTCAAGAGATACAAAAGAGTGAATGCATTTTTACATAGGCTTTATTATTCATAAAGAGTGAAATAATATACAATTTGTTTTATAATATACAAATTGGACAGCTAAGAAATAACATTTTTTATAATGAGTGCAACCAAAAAGTGGTGTTGAGATTGATCTGTAACAAGAAAGACTGGATAAATCTAAAAATGAACACGTTCGTGAAATGGTAAAAGCAGCACTAATTGAAGACAAAATAAGAGAAAACCAACAAAGATAGTTTGACAATAAAAAAATTGAGAGCAATATTTAGCGTTGAGAAAAGAAAGACATGGTAAACATTGAGGTGATGTCAAGGGAAGAGTGACATGGTTCACGTAATGGTTGATGCCAGGTGAAAAGGAATACCAGATTTAAAATAGTTGTGTGAAAGACATGACAGTATGTGACTATGACCCTAAATAGAACATAATGGTGAGTAGTACGCCATGCTAATGTGCCTAGGATGATCCAAACCTCAGGGTCATGCGCTGATGAGCACATTGAACTATCCATGTGGCTGAGAGCCCTCACAGCCCAGGCATTCATATAGTCCATTTCGCAAAGTCCATATGGCTTTATTGAGTTGTATGTAATCGCACTTTCCTCTGCTCCATTTTAAAACCCTATGCACATCTTCATACACCTAAATATGTGCCAAAGTGGCTAAAAAAGGACATCTTCATACGCCTAAATAGTCCATTTCGCAAACCTCAACTATGTGGAGTCCACTAAACAAACCTCTTTCACCATTCAGCCCTATCAAATATCATATCTCATTTAAACATATGTAATAGCAAGTCTTCCTCGTTTCTATGATATTTCAACAAACTAAAATTTATAGATGAAGCATTTGTTAGACTTCAGTGCACATCACAACCATTATATAAAAATTTCCTCAACTAGTCCTCAATTAATACCACAAAAAGCTACCATGTGTAGCGACTTTAAATTCCTTAAATATGAAATGGTTTGCCTTCCCATCCTGTAAAATAATTGCATCCTTGTAGCACTGTCTAATCCAATGGCCCACGAAAGAGTATCAAATTCTTGAAAATGCGTACTCAAAACCCCACTACATCCCCCAAAATCTGTTTGAAGGACATCATGTGAACTTGTCAATTTCTGCATCTTTTCACAAGTAAATCCATCAATTCTATTTAATTTTTGTAATGAAATGATTTTCACAATATTTTATGAAGGTTAAAAGCTTTATACACCATTAGGATGTACATCTAGAATTAGATAATAGTTCTTGTGTGCCTTGCGTGGTACACTTCTTCAAAATTAGCATCACACAGACACACGCCCCTTACTCAATAAGAGAAGTTACAATTCATTCTTTTTCATTAAATTATGAAATGAGGGGATGATGATAAGCAATTACAATACAACAACAGCAACAAAAATAACAACAAAGGTGAAAGGTGCTAGCCTTTGCCAATAGAGACTCCAAGCACAGTTACCTAGGAAAGGCTATGATCAAATCCCACCTTCATCAAAACTAAGGGGTTCTCAAATCATGTAGGGGGGGTCTAGCACACTATAGCCTTTAACCAGAAAAGCAATAAAAATAAAGGAAGTGAATAAGCTTACCAAGAAGAGGATCCCCCATTCAGATAGAACTTTAACATCTGTAAGATTCCTAATCAAGCCAAATTGATTGAGCACGACCCCCGCAAAGAAGAAACCGAGTATCTGAAACCCATCAAGTACTATTCAGCATCTCTTATAAATCATATATTACAAAAACAATAAATTGATTAAACAACCCATCATGATTGAATTGCACAGTTTTCCAGATTTTCATATCCTTTAACTGAAGGTAAAATAATGTTCTTACATAACATAAGATCTCCCATACAAGTTCTAACCTCATTCTGGAATATCAATGCGAATTTACAGTATATACCTATACCCATGCCATGTCAGTTTGATATAGGTGTTTCCCATGATTTTAGGTATTTACGTACAAAGACATGTTCACATGGTACATCCTCATAAGTAGGGCACGGCATCAACAAGGATTTATCTATGTTGTTTACAAACTAGGAGTCAAAATTGAAGAGTTCAATTTTGATTTAAGTCCTCACTGGCTCACTACATCTCTGTGACAATAAATGGTCCAAGTGTTTAATACATTCTATCTTGTCGTTTTTCGGATAATTCTGTAGTCTTTAAGAACAATAAAACAAAGCTATATTTTATGTAAATCGCGTGTTCAAAAGTGTTCAAGATGCGTTAGCCAAGTGGTCAAATTTGAAATTTTAAACTGTAGACATGTTTAAAATGTTTAAAATGAGATGTGTTGATGTTTGATTTGTTCAGAACAGGCATTTCTACTCTATAGAAGTTTCGTGCTTCTTAGTACACCAAAGGCATGAACTAATCAATCTTTGCATGAACTGTGGACAACTGGTCTCTCTCTGTACAAATTTCGGTTTCAATTTAATTATCCTTCTTATTCTGTCTCCCTAAAACCATAACAATGTTCGACGGTGGCTTGACTGTTCTCAACAGAACAAACTTGAGACCTGTCGATCTCTCTGTGCCGCAATCTGACCACATAGTCACCGGAGCTCAGGTCCTCGAACTCGCATAATCTAGAGCTTCATCATCACTCTTTGGCCTAAAAAGGGCTAGCCTAGTGCACGAGGCTCCTGCCGTTGTGGGGTCGAGGGTCAGACGTACGCAGCCCTACTTCCGCATGGAGAGGCTGTTTCAGGTTTCGAACCCATGACCTCCAGGTCACTTTTCAGCCTCTCTTTTCAAAAAAAAAAAAAAATTGTGCGAAATTTTTTACTTAAAAAGGTTTCTGCAACTAGTGATGAGTTATACGATTCTATTTTTGAACATAACTTCCACAAATAAAGCCAAAGGGAGAAAAAGGATTCATGTGGCCAACCCCTTATACTAACATTTTGCGGATCTGCGTATTTTTTAGTAAAGTTTATAGAAGAATTAGTCTAATACAAACACACTCAATATAAGTTTTAGTGATGCTGGCCAAGGATGTGTGCTAAAAGAATAAACTCAAATAATTTAAAGTTCAAAAAAACATTTTAAGAATAAAAATTTTAATGAAAAAAATGCATGTATGAGTATGCTTTAATAACATTATACATACACATACAAGGATACATCTTGAATACCACACATCCAACATCCATGAATGCAAATATGTACATTATACATATGTGAATTTCTGTACTCATATGTGCAAATTCTGTACCTTGTGCGCGCGTGTGTGTAGCAACGAGTAAACAGGCATAAGAGAAAAAAAAGAGTAGAAAAAATGGGAACTACTAAAGTTAAGCTTACAGGGCTAGTTTTAATAATCTTGAAGGCAGGAACAACCATAACAGTCACACCCAAGAATGTCAAAGTATCCAATCCTAAGTCATTGATGACATCAACTGCACTGGCAACATCAAGTGCTGCATATATATGGAATCTTTCCCTCTGCGTCCATCTACAATTAGAGTAGAATCCTCGAGCACCAGAAAATGAGGAAGTTAACAAAGGTGTACCTTTAGACACATTTGGTGTAATATAAGACCAATGACTTATCCTATGATGTATGGTGGACAATCGAGATCGCACTAGCTCGTTACAAGCATATGGCATGTAGAAAATATGTCGATACAGATGTGAGAAAACATGAGAATTAGCCCTAACAGAGCTGGCCTGATTGACAATGTTGTATCCCTGCAAGTAAACAACCAAATGTGATGAAGTAACATTTGCGAATACTATGTACCTCCAAGAGTAAAAGATATCACATCAGGGCACATCCTTGTTTATTTTATATATAAAAAGTATGTATAACATCTTATCATAGTGGTTTGAAATGCATGAAACAGCAAAAAAATTAGATTGCTTCTAAAACAACCAAGAGTCATGCAGCCCTACATCCATGAAATGCAGAACTTATTGTGTTCCAAAAATAATTCCAGACAAATCCAATAAGCTAGATATGATGTGTGTGCACTGCACATCAAAGGCCCATCGAAATAATACAACATATTAATCAGCATTTGGCAAGTGACCAGTTTGCTTTTGAGGGCATCCAACTTTTGCATTCAAAAGCAACAAGTCACTGCCAAAATGGAAATGAAGCATTTCCTCCATTAACTTATAAATATTTTAATTCTATTTCAGAATTTACCACCTACATAAGATTTTTTGGACCGTATTCAAATTTAGAGAAGATGCTTGAAATAATTTGAATACCGATATGTGCAGGAAAAAAGAGTCATTTTTTCCAAGCATTATGAAGACATTTCAAATTTTCGTCCATCCAGATACTCTGATTTTTCTGTTCGGAAACAAGTACTGAACAAAAATTTTGAGAAATTTTAAACTTTTGAACAGCATGAGAAAATTGGATTTTCATGAAGTCCAACAAAAATTCAAAATTCAAATTAGATCCCATTTCATCAGAAATTTGCAACTACCCAATAACTCCTTTATACAACCTGTTTTAATCCATGGAGTATCCTATTACCTATACTTGGTTTACACTCCCATGTGGCCCTTATAGTAATCCAAAAGACAAATCGCCAATAAATATGTGTGATTTAGAAACATTTTTCAAACAACCCTAAAGAATTAGACAATCCTGTGCTTGTTTCTTGAGGAGAAGCAGGACATAAAGCATTCAAAATACTTATCGGGAACCCCAGATTCAGTAGCAAGAGTACCGTTACTGTAGTGAGCCAAAAGCTCTGCTACTTGATTTTGTTGAGTAATCTATTCATCTCGGTAACAAAAACAACCTTAAATTGTCTAATTTTCTTTCATTTAACATATCTTTTCCACAGTTTTCTCTACAAACAAACAAGGGGCAATAAGTAATTGAACATAGTTTTACGTACCTTGAAACCATGAGAACAAGCAATTGAATCCAACATAGTGATTATGCTCATGAAACAGTAATTGCTGGTTCAGAAAACATACGAGGCATTGCTTAATTTTCTGATAAACCCTAGTGTAGTTATAAATTGAGTTGTACGGATACTGAATGCTTCTAAAGGTAAAAGGAGAGGACGACGAATGACCACACGTTGAAGGAGTGTGGTGGTTTAGAGAGAGAGCGCGATATTTAGAGAGAGAGAATAGCGGCCATTTGTCTGTGCGGAGGAAACGGCAAAGTCTCCCTTATGCGAGAATTGGCTATTTTTTTAACTTCCAAATTCCAACGAAGCTGACGAATTTCCACGTGGCGGATTGATGATAAGTGATAACGGCTTTCGAGATTTTTCATATAAAACGGGTGGGTAAAAAGGTCCGGGTCAGTTTTTATTTTTACAGTATTTTTTTTTTTTTTTTTTTAAAACTTTTTATTCATATAAAGGTTTTTTTTAAGTGTTTTTATTCATAAGATTAATATATAAAAAAATCATTTGTTATTTTGTTAACAAAAGTTATATATGATAATTTTATTCAATTCTACCTCTATTTATAGGTTTCATGAAGTTGTAGAATTGTACCTTACTCCACCTTTGATAATTATTCAATTTATTTATGATAATTATATATAAATATATATCATAATTATCTTTTACTCACTTTCAAGTGAGTCTAGGTTTATTGGGTAATTTGACTTAACACGATTTTATTTTTTAGTATTTATAATTGGATAGAAAGTCTTTATTTTTTTTAATAATAGTATTAGTATAGATAAATAGATTTAGATATGGATAATAAAAAGATATAAATGAAAAGAGTAATTGCCTTTTAACCTGTTCTTCTTTATCAATGTTACTCAAGGACCTATAGGTAAAAAAAAGCGAGGGTGCATGACATTCATTGCCAAAAGGACATGAAGTAAACTTAGCAATATTGAAAGTGAAATAAATAAAGTAAAATATATTTCATTACACATATTTAGTTTGGATTAAAAAGACAAAACTTATATAGTAATACAATATTTTCTTGCAAGTATTTTTATAAGAACAACATCCATATATAATTTACAAAATATGAAAGTTTATAAGAAAAATACTAGCAATATGCACTTTGCTTAAACATTTCATCTAATCTAAACCTGGAAACCAAAATTTAACTCATGTAGCTAAGAGGCTTTTGTTTGTATATGACATGTATCTCCATTATTGAATAACCCAACTAGTTTGAAACCAATCAAAATTTAAATCAGGTCAAATTTTTTTTTTTTTTTTTTTCAAATTTGAACTCAAATGGTATTATAAAAACCAATAAAAGAAATTCTATGAGGTCCATTTTGTTTTCATGCAGGGTTTATCAAAAAATTATAAAATGCCTCATAATTTGAAAATGTACCATTTAGCAATGAGAACATGTACGAGGCATTGCTTAGTTTGAACTAAAATGATCTTTGTTCTCCATGGTTAGCAATCTTAACCAAGTGTTTAACAGACATGTGATTCTAATATTCTGTCACTTTTTTTTTTTTTTTTAGAATGTCTAATTTCTTGTTTCAGATCATCACAATTAAGAAACTTTTAGATTGATACATATTCAATGTCTAATATGACCTGATTCAATTTTTTTGTCATGCCCGTGAAAAAAGATATTTGAGATATCAAAATTTTAAGGGTAAAGTGCAAAAAAATTCCTGAACTAAATTTGAATTTACAAATAACCTCCCTGAACTATATTTTGTGCATAACTATCACATTTTGTTGCAACATAGTATTAATGACTATACTATATTTCATTAAATGACTATAATGCCCCTTCTTATTGAATTACATTTAATATATTTTCTCATCTAAATAAATTATGAAAAAAAATTATATTAATTTGATGACATATTCTCCATTAAATTTGCATAACTTAACCTTTAATTATTTAAATACACATATTTAGTATAAAAATTTTAAAAAATTTATTTACTTTTTAAATTTTTAATGAATATATTAGATAAAAAGAAGGTTTTTTTTTTTTTTTTTAAAAGTATTTTATTAATTTTTAATCAATATACTGTATGAAAAAGAAGATATTTTTTTTCGATAAAAATGTTTAAATTGGTTATAATAAGTTTTATTACAAATAATAAAGTTTTAATAATAAGTGAATCAATTTAAAAACGGGTAGTTACAAATCTATTTATCTTTTTTTTTTTAATGATAAATTGATACTATAATAAAATTAAGGTAAATAGTATAATTAATATTTACATAAGAGAAAAGATAATAAAATAATTTAATAAGAAATGAAAATTTTAATGAGAAAGGATAAAATAGTCTTTTGTGATGGGTTTGACCTTAATTGCAACAAATTAATCAATAGTTCATGGGGCAATATTTAGTACAGGGGGGTTATTTGCAAAAGGGCAATAGTTTAGAGGAGTTTTTTGTACTTTACCCAAATTTTAATAGCTAAAATGTGAACACTCAAAAATAGTTTAGGCAAAAGTAATTACAAATATGTTAATTTTTATTGTTCATAGAGACCAAATTACTGTAAAAATCTTACTTAAGAATGTAAAACTCTTACTTAAACAAAGTATTGCACGAACATCTTACTTTCTTTAAGTAAAAGTTTTACATTTTTAAGTATAGATTTTACATTATTTAGTAAATGTTTTACATTAGTGCAATTAACGTTTTGCATGAGTGCGGTGAAAATTGACATATTTATAATTACTGTTGCCTAAACTATTTTTTTTATGAGGTTATTTTTGAGTATTTACATTTTAATAATTAAATTTTCTTTCTTAATTTAATACTCACACACACATGCCTTCACCGAGACTCGAACCTCGGACCTCCTTTTGGAAAGTAAGAGTCAGGTACCGCTAGGCCACTGGCCTATTGGTATTTTAGTAATTAATGCTTCCTAAGATATGTTTTTATTAAATTAACCTTATCATTTATACTATATTTAAAGAAATAAATTCTCTAATTAGATCTAACCCATCAATTAAGGTAACATTATTCTTAGATGAATTGTGTGGTGTTAAAACAAGTGACTTTAATTCATGGGGAGATGGAAGGGGTAAGGAAAACATAGGCCTGGTTTGGTACGCATGAATGAAATAGAATATAAATAGAATGAATGTGTGAATGGAATTAGAATGGAAATGAAATTGTATTGTTTGGTTGCAATTATGAAATGATGTGGGAATGAAATAATAAGTGGTGGTGGTAGAAGGCTATGGTGGTGGAAGTGGTGGGAGGCGGCAATGGTGGTGGAAGGTGGCTACGATGGTGGTGGTGGAAGTGGTGGGAGGCGGCAATGGTGGTGGAAGGTGGCTACGATGGTGGTGGTGGAAGGGGGCAATGGTGGTAGGGAAAGGAATTGGTGGTAGTGGAAGGTGGTGGAAAGCGGTGGTGGTGGAAGGCGATGACAATATATAGTTATGTTGATGACCAAAAATTCATTCCATCGGCTTAGATGTTGAATGAATTTTCATTCTAAGAGAATGCTCATTCCTACTTTAAATGTCATACCAAAAAAATAAATGGTTGGAATGAACATTCCATTTCATTCCATTCATTTATACCAAACTACGCCTAATCATCTCCACATCTCTAAAGTCTTGTTGCAAAGTATGTAAGTTTTTCTTTAGGAGATCCTACTTCACTCTTTTGATAATAAGGCTAGAGTGAATTGAAGGTGAACTTTTTGAACCCCTTCCTCCTAGCAGAGAAGAGTTTTTTAAACACTTTGGGAAGTGGTTCACTTAGGATTTTTTTGGCAACTGCTTTTGCTTTGTAGTTTTGTTTTAATCCAAAACAGAAACAACATTGCTGCTTTGAAGTGTGTTTAGTACCATTCGGAAGCATCTTTGGTAATTGTGAGATATAAATTTTGTTATTGGCAAGTTTTGATGTCAAAACCCCGATCGAGTTGTAATTTTCTATTTACTTTTGAGTCTCGATGTCCGAAGCGGAACAACAAGTGCACGCATACTTCAATTCGATAAGAATATCATGTAGAACAAGTTTATGGGTAAGGAACACTTGTGAGAATGTTTAAAGTTGGGCAGGAGAGCAGAGGTCAGAAATAATATTCAACAAAGTCCTACCGATTGCACTTTATACTTGAACCAGTTACATTTTTGGAATGAAATCTACTCTCGGAAAAATTCCAACCGGTTGCACTTGTTAATCCAACCCGTTGAACTTCTTAAGAGAAAACAGGACTCAGTAAAAGGCCAACTGGTTGCACTCTGAAGTCCAACCGGTTGCATTTTTCTAAATGTGCAAAAAATCAAATTTTTTTAACTTTTTTAATTCCTATTTTTACCCAAATTATACGGTTATCCTTGCACGGTTTTTAAACCTCTTTTTACCTGTTACGAGTACTCTCTAAGCCTATATAAACTCTCTTTCTATCTTAATTAATTAGGGTTTTAAAAAGAAAAATATTTTGCTATTGAGAGTTTTCTAAGAGTATTTTTGGCGTAAAATCATCCTTGATTTTTATGTATATTTTTATATACTTGAAAGCACACACTATTACATGAGAGTGATCTTAGGTTGGTGTTCTCTATCTGATCGAAGTTTAAGAATATTGATGATTAAGTTGATTCCGTTTAGAAAAGTAGAGGTTTCTATTTTACTTTCACTAATTCAAAATTTGAAGGAAGGAGGAATCGATCACACTACAAAGGGGTCAAAGCATTTATAGAGTGTTCGTGATCTACCAACAACCCTTCTATAAGGATTAACGAGTAATCATGAAATTTGCAGTTATCGGACGGGGAGTCGCAATAGTTAGTTTGGGATGTTCAACAACTAGTTCTTAGAAGAGTGGAGTAAGTGTGAACCTGAGTTAAAGTCTATTATACTTTGCTTTAAAAATTAAAAGATTAGTTTGCTCGAGACTGCGAAAGTCTCCGTGGTTTCCATCTCAGTTGGTCGGATTTCTTCCAACAAGGCTTTCCGCGTACAAAAACTCTGGTGTTATCTCTCAAACTTTATTTACTTTACTAGTACATTATTTCTGCTTTATCGGTTTGATTTTAGTTTTATTTATGTAAAATTAAAATAAGTAAAAATTGGATAAAGGAGCAAGTAAAGCCTATTCTCCCCCTCTAGGTTATTTTTACATCAAACTTTCATATCCATTCCACATTGTGCAACTATAACGACCCAAAACCGGGGGTTTGGATCGATAACCAAATCCCAACCCGACTCGTGAACACCCAAAGATAAAACG